TGATGAACAAGAAAATGCTTTTTTATAAAGGGCTTGACGATCACAGAGTGTCCTACTACATAAAGCCCTTTCAATTGCTGAAGGCAAGGTTCTTCCTCCATCTAGCCCCAACTTCTCCTGGGCACACTTTCCACCAGGGACCTCTGTCTAGAAAAGAAGCCAGAACCTCCCTTTGAATAGTTCCCTTCACTGCAAACAGCCTTTCACAGACTGACAGCCATTACCTTTGACCAGAGCTGTCCTGCAGCCCGCGGGCCCCAGCACAGCCATGCCTGTTGTTAAAATACTGAACCTCTTCTGCTGCTAACTAGTCTCTGCCTTGAGTGCCCCTCCCACCAGGACCCCCCAACTAAACATTAACTCCTGTCCCGCAGGGGAGCCTCCAGGGCCCATTTTTGTCTTTGTTTTTGTTTGTTTCTTTTGTTTGTTTGTTGTGTTGTGTTGTGTTGTGTTGTACTGCAGCATAAATATTGATTCCCTTCTGATTTTCAGTATCACACCTGCCTTTCACTTATTACAGATATAAGATATGTAACTATGAAGCAGTGGATCAAAGTTTTTAAGGAATGGCAGAATTAAAGATGCAAATAGAATAAATAATAGTATTTATCAATTGGCCATCGTATTCTCGAGGCTTGATTCCAAATGACTTCAGGCTTATGCCAAAATCAAATCCACTCTCAAAAATAAAACCTTGCCATCTTCAAGTGTTTACAAAAGAATATAATACCAGTCCCGGTGACAACCTAAATAGCAGTGCCCAAAACTATTTCACGCAATGACAGCATCACTGAAAAAACTATATGGCCTCATGAGGGGAAGTGTTTCCCCCACGTATGTAATAATTCAGGGAAATTATTACTAGTAGATATCAGATGATATTAAAACTTATTAGTTTTTATTTATTTTATTTTCCATCACCATGTGCCTGCTCTATGCCCTCCTCCACCTCCACCCAGCCCTGTCCCCACTCACTATTGTCCATGTCCATGAGTTCTCTCTCTTTTTTTAGTTTTTAAATGTGTAATGATACTAAGTTAAATTTTTAAAGGAGTCTGTTTTAGAAATATATACATAGGATGAAAGGGATTTGTTTCAAAATAATCCAAAGAGAAGGAATCAGGAGAGTGGGTGTCGGGGGGGGGAGCTAGTGATGTGTCCATGGGGCTCTTTATGCTTTTCTCTCCACTTTTACATATGCTCAAAAAAATCTTCAAAATAAGAAATTAAGCAGAAACTTTTTCAACCAGTCTGTACTTCATAGCCACCCCTGGTGGATGGACGCACCCTGGACTAGGGCATGGAGAGACCCAGAGGATTCGCAGTCTGACCACTAACTGTGTGGCTGTGGACAATCCTTTCTCTGTCCTGTGCCCAATTTCTTGTCAGTGAAATGCACATAACCATAACCTTACACACACACACACACACACACACACACACACGCACGCACACACACACACACGCACACACACACACGCAACACGCACACGCACGCACACACACGCACACACACACGCACGCGCACACACACACACACATTCTCAAACAGGCTAGGAGGAGTCTAAACAAGGTAACATTTGTATAATCTTTTGAGCTCCTTGAGATAAAGGTGCCACATCCTTTAAGATCTCAGCACCCAGAGCTGTTGTGCGAAGTTTAGTTAAGATGATTCAGGTTTCCCAGAATCCCCGGAGATTTTTCAGAAACTACCTCATGCTGAGTTCTCTAAGCCAAGTGAAAGAAGGAGCAGAAACAAAACCCCCTGCTTCCACACAGGAGGCTTTTAGCAGCTCTGTTTACTCCTCCGACACAAAGCCTTTGTTTATGTGTGACAGATGGTGCTCCATGTTCCTCTCCTCTCCTCTTCTCTCTCTCTCTCCTCCCTCCCTCACTTCATTGGTTCCCTTCTGTTTCTTTGTCCCCCTCCACTTTTTCTTTTCTCTGATCCTTCTCTGCTTCCCACCACTCTTCCTGAATTGGCTCGAGGGTCAGCAAGAGGGATAAAGGCAAACAGAGAGCCAGGACTTGGAGAATACCTACTATTTATTCCGTCGGGCTGCACGCACAGTTGCTTCTTGGTTTACAGCACTCATATTTGAAATGTGTTTTTGAAGGCAGAGTGATACACCTTTGAAACTGTAGGGGGCTCAGAGCCCATAAATATTTATGTGGCAGGTTTCCTTGGTTTGCATTCCCAAAGTAATCATAGTCAACATATTCTCTCTCTCTCTCTCTCTCTCTCTCTCTCTCTCACACACACACACACACACACACACACATTCCTTCCGGGTCCAGCCACTCCCGAAGAACAAATGCAGACCTAACCTCTCACTGAATAGTCCCTGCAATAATCACAGTCTGTAAACCAGCCAGGGGAGAGGAGGTGTGAAGGACTGGACATGAAAGAGCCTTTTCTAGACCCGTATGGAATGCGGGCTCTGCTCCTCTGAAACCTAAGGAAGTGATTTAGCCTTTCCCAGCCTCTGTGTCTTCTGTAAAATGAAGGTATTCAGATAAATGAATGACCTATAGACTCTGAATATCTATGATTCCATGAGCACTTCACACCCATAAATATCAATCTACCTGGCACCCCAATACCTGCTGAAGGTAGGGGATGACCTGTCAAAGTAGATGTCAAACCAGTGCTTGAATGAGGTGATGGGTGGCAGAGAAGTCAGGGGCAATGGGAAAAGAAAAAATGGCACTGAGTTCAGGAGGGACATAAATAAGGTCAGAGAAGGGGATCAGAGAGTATGGTATAATAGATACCAAATGGGAGTAGGAGGCAACATTTGGCACCTGCCTGGATATCTAGGAAAAAAGATAGCAAAAAGGCAAAATTAAGTGAGAGGAAGAGGGTATCTGCTAATTCCACTTCGTCTCCTGAAATTTATTCTCAGGTCTTAGGCATGCTTCCACCAGAGGCGTTCTCCAAGAAGCGGCATACTGGCCCTTTTAGAAGAGGTCTTAATTTAGTGCCTCATGCTACATAAGGATAATGACTACCCCCCATGGCCACTCCCACCCCCAGACAAGAAAGGAAAAATCCCTGCTCAGAAAAATAAAGTCACTATTTGAAAAGTAATCGCTACATCTGCAAATGATTAACTCAAGGATTTATTACCAATTAGGACTATAAATCTCTGCTTACTTTGGCTGCTGAAAAGTTGATTTCATGGGGGGTTGGGGGTGCGGTGATTTGAGACAAGGAAGAAGAAATCCAAGCTTAAATAGACACACTTCAAATTCAAAAGGGAGCAGGGTTTTCTCAAGCAGCACAGCGGAAAGCAGGCTTGACCTCACTATTCTAAGCAAAGAGCCCAGCAGATGCCTGCAGGGTTAGCAAAGCCAAAGGGACTAATGCCACTTAGAAGAGGGTGTGGGTGGCCTGGAAGGGGGTTGCATAACGGAGAGACCGCCCCGCAATGGGCAGGCCATAATATGGCCAGAGTCAGCGGTGGAATACGTGCATCAGGAGTTCTGTGTTCCTCATCTCAGGGGTTCTCAGACTTGGCTGACCATTGGAATCACCTGTGGAGCTTTAAAAACCATACCTATGCTTGGGTCACACTGCAGCTCAATTAAATCAGGTATCAGTGGGGCTTAGATATCAGAGTGGTTCAAAAACTTCGCAGGTGACCCTCGGGTGCAGCCTCGGTTGAAAACTACTGCTAAACTGGTATCATTCCCACAGCAACCCCATATGATAGGTACAATGCTCTCAGGGTTTACAGAAGATAAAACTGAGACACCAAGAGGCTATGTAATTACACAGTGAATAGTGGTGGAGGCAGGATTTGAATCCAGAGCTCACACTCTTGATCATCATGCCCTATGGCAGTGATGGTGAACCTTTTGAGCTCGGTGTGTCAGCATTTTGAAAAACCCTAACTTAACTCTGGTGCCGTGTCACATATAGAAATTTTTTGATATTTGCAATCATAGTAAAACAAAGACTTATATTTTTGATATTTATTTTATATATTTAAATGCCATTTAACAAAGAAAAATCAACCAAAATAATGAGTTCGCGTGTCATAGGTTCGCCATCACTGCCCTATGGCCTCCCATGGCTATAGTTCTTCGTTTTCGAGATAGAAAATGGGGCTCTCAAGTTATTTTTAGATATTGTATCAAATAATTCTAATAGAAATGAAACATGGGCCCATATTAATGCTACAAATTGACTAGAGAGACAAGTTTTTTTCCGTTGCTTGGAGTGACATCAGAACAAGGAATTGCACTGGATATGTCATGCTTATTGGGAATCCTCCTTCATTCATTCCACAGATATTTAGTGCCAGTTTCCTGCAGAGTCTATAAAATAGAACCTCGCTGTGCAGATAATCAATCGCACAATAGCTGTTCTAAGGGCCATCTCAGTGGCATGCACTAGGCGCTCTGGGAGGCCACAGAAGGGAGTGGGCAGCTCTGTGTGGCAGTAACGTATTGTGCTGTCAGTGAGTGAAATATGCCAAGGGAAAGCATGGGGTGACATACGCATGTTGCTAAGTGGCGAAATAGAAGATGGGGGCCTGGGATAATAAAATGTGAGAATGTTGGGAATGCACTGTTTCTAATCCATAAATATTTAACCCAAGGTTAAAAAAATGCAGATTCCTGGCTGGCACCTACACGAATGTAGTGAGCTGATTGTCAACATGGGAGGTGGGGGCTGGGGTGACCTAGAGAACCCACATCTTGTGTAAGGAGTCAGCTAGTTCTTACCTCCAGGCCTAAGTTGCCATACAGGAATATGGGTGCAGTGTTGTCAGACTTTTTCAGGGGAAGCTGTAAATATGGGTTGCCTAATGCCCAGTCTCCCAATTTGTAATGGCCTTTCATTCTAGTCTCTTCCAAACTCAGTGTAAACCAAAGAAAACACATCGACCACCAGCCCTGCTTGCACCTTGGAGAGTGATCTCCCACTCCTCCCATGGATCCCAAAGCAGCTGCCTGGGCCTTTCATTCACCTGTGCCTTTCCCTCCTGCAGGAATGCTCATTTATTTTGGGTACGGCATCTGGAACAGCACCCTGGAAATCAGCGCCCGCGAGGAGGCCCTGCACCAAAGCACGTACCAGAGCTACGACGTGGACGACCCTTTCTCCGTGGAGGAGGGTTTCTCCTATGCCACCGAGGGCGAGAGCCAGGAGAACTGGGGCGGGCCGTCCGAAGACAAAGGCTTCTATTACCAACAGATGTCCGATGCCACGGCCAGCCCCCGGACAAGTAGCAAAGCGAAGAGCAAAAGCAAACACAAACAGAACTCGGAGGCCCTGATTGCGAACGATGAGTTAGATTACTCACCAGAGTAGGAGTAAACAACACAAGGAAGACATAGAAATGGTGGGGATGTATTTTCGGTAACTTAACCTGTGGGCTAGAAGGTGAAAACGTTTTTGCCTCTCATTTCACAAGTCCAGCCTTCCCCAAAGTCAGTCCCCAGTCATAGCCTGTCATTTACTACTTTTGCTCTTCAGGATAGTTCTGTTGAAGAGACTGGTCCCCTTATAGAAAAAAATATTTTTAAAAAAAAACTAAACAAAAAGCTACAAGAAATTCTAACTTGGATGCAACCATCAGAGCTGATGGCAGCAAATGTTTCCCAGGCCTTTGCTCTGCTGGTTGAATCGTTTTGCTTCTTATGGAGACCCCAAGAAGCAAGGAGAAAACTTCTTAGACCACACTGAGGCGCAGCTCCTTGTGGAGATGTGCCAAAGCCGGTGGGAGTGGGCACAAGGCAGCATTTCTACCACCTGAGACCACAGGGGCAAAGCTCTGTGCTCAGCATACGGGCTGAGGGCGGCTCCCCCAGGCCTGGGTGGGCAGGTGGCATTGGCACTTCCTCAGCAAGCAGCATTTTGTCCTGAAATCTCACAAAAACAAATTCATGGAAAAGACACATGCTTCTTGTTATTCACCAACGTTCTCACGGGCTCCAAAATATAACTTTAGGATCCCCCAAAGGTCAGGGACTCTGAAACCATTTCCCCAAAGGTTTCAGATTCGCCACACAGCAGTCGTGCAGACCCAGTAATGGGGTGAGGAGCACCATCAAAGCTCTACGTAAATCCCCACAAAACATTAAATAAGGTCTCTTGCAGCGAAGGCCAGGGCGTGTGGGCAGAAATTAACTCCCTGTCAAGCCTTCTCTTATAGCCGATTCTAAGCTCCTGCTGATAGAATGGAAGGGGGCAAAGGTGGAGCATGATTTCATGGCACTAATATGCCTTGAAGAAGGAGGCTGTTTGTTTTATAATCAGATAAAAATCTTTACAAGGAGAAGTGACCCAGCCACTGAGATCACATTGCAAATTCTATTTCAGATTTCTAAAATTATAAATTCTGTCGTGTGTTGGTTGTTGTTTTTTTTTTTTAAAGATATGCCACCATTTGATTGGTGGGTGCTGCTCTGAAAACAAAAATGTTGAAGCACGGCTTCTTAGGTAATTGCATTCCATGAGATCACATTTCACTTCTGAACCTTATTCTTCTGGGGTAGCTCACTTTTAGACGTGTGGTTTTTCTCCCTGTTATTTCCCAGAGCGATTTCACTGAAGCCCAGAGAAATAGCTACCTGGTGAGGTCTAAATCTGGGCCTTAGGAGGTGCTCTTGAAGGAATTCCTCTGAAACAAGCTGGAGGAGACAACCTGCAACAGGGAAAGGCTCATGGTCTATTAACTGCTCCTGGGTTGCAGGGATTCCAACACTGCATGGAGATATGTGCACATGTATGTGAAGGCACGGGGCTTGGGTTAAGCTAAAATCTCTGTGAGGATTTCTGAAAATGGGGCAAAATAGCAAATTCCTTATTCTCTCTCTCTCCTGGATCTAGTGTTAAGCCAAAAGTTTTCCAGAACACATCAACAAATGTTTAAATCTATTCTTTCTTACAGGTTGAGGGTGGTGCCATCTTGGCACACTGTAGGATTATGGACAGGAAGCAGAAGTCCGTTTTTCACTCAACGAATACTGATTGAGACTGTACCATGTGATAAGTGATAGGAATGCAGAAAAGAGTGACATGTGCCCTTGGAGGCTCTCAGCCCAGGGAAAGAGCAGCACTGCAGCCTGATAGTTGTAAATAAAATAGCTGAACATCACAAGTCCCCATGGCTGATGCACTGGGCTTTAACATAGCATTTTTAAAAGGTCAATTGAAACTATAGTTTTTTGTGTGGATTTTTTTTTGTTTCTTTTTTTATTGTCTAAAGTTTTACATATGTCTCCTTTTTCCCCAATTGACCCCCCAACCTTAGCCATTCCCACCCCAGGGAAGCCCCCACCGCCCTATTCTGTATCCATTGGTTATGCTAATATGCATGCATACAAGTCCTTTGGTTGCTCTCTAACCCCCCTTCCCCTACCGTTTGTCTCTAGATAGATCTATTCTTGTTTGAAACTATAGTTTTAATATGCTTTTAAATAGATTGCATATCATACCCATAGCCAACATGTCATTTAAATTCAAATAACTACTATTTTCTAGACCTTCTTTTTCATTCTTTTATATTAATTGTTTATAGCTCAAGTTTTCTGAGGCCATTTGTCATTTAACTGTAATGCTTAGCAATGCTGTTGTTGTCTGTTTGTTTTTCTCCCCTAACCTCAACCATAAAGATACAGTGCCTGGTCTGTGAAATAGATCCTTGGGCATTAATTGTAATCTAATCATCAGCAATTTTTGTGAAAATGCAGTTTTGAACTAGTTTTAGAATTCAACAAATCTGCCTAGTTTAAATAAAATCTGGTTAAGCTTGGGATATATCCAGGTAGGTAGGGTGGGGCTGTATTCATTATAAATGTTCAAAGAGAAATATGAATGCAAATAACAAAATCTTAATGTGGGTGAAAGAGCTTCCTTTTACTAGAGAGGTTTTAGGTATTAAAGTCATAATAGTCTGGTGGCCGCTGTATGCAATTTCTGGAGCATGAGGAGAGAGAACACAAGCTTTGGAAATACCATTGGCATTGATTTCGTGAAGATCCTATGAACTACTTCATTTCAGAAGTCACTTCTCCCAAATAGTATCTCTATAATTTTTTTAAGCTTTGATCTCTTTATTTCTCTAAAACTGATTAGTCATCTTCCTAGCAAACTTGGTTTTTTAAAATTAGTCAATATGATAGAAAAAGGTTTTTATACGGTAAATAGACCTATTTTTCCTCATGTTCCCCACCTCTCCTGAAACAGTCCCAGATTTCACAATGCAGTTTTCGAATACCATTAATCACTAGGATGATTTTACTAGTGTTTCCTGACAATTTTCTTAAGACCACATTTGTGAAACCACATTAAAAGTAAGATCACCTTATAAATAATTACCATAGAAATTTAGCCCCCTTGAAAGGAGTCCAAGGAGGACCTACATTTTATTAAATTCTTCTCTGCAGCAAGAGCTCTTCCAGTGAGGTTACATCATGTGGATTTGTGGTTTGGAGCCAATTATTTGGTTTTTTAAGTTGTTGTTGATTTATTGGTACTCTGCTTCATTTCAAAAGGATTCGAGGTGGCTATTAAGTTACATATAATACCCCAAATAATTAAGTAGAGAGCTGTGGGCAAACAAAAAGGATAAAATAAAGCTAGAAGTGTGGTAAATACTCAAATGCAGAAACCTGATATGCAATGCTAATTGCCAATGAGGGGCAACTTCAAAAATAATGCGATTGTTGGTAATGACAGAAAGTACAAATAAGAACAAATCTTCCTCTATAAGGGCAGATTGTAATAATCTAAGCATAGGTTAGTAAAACCCACAGATAAGTTTCAGGCCTGGATTTTACCAGGTACCTGTGCCTGGCACATAGTGGATGTTCCATAAATATCTGAATGAATGGATGAATGGATGGATGGATGGCTGGATGGGTGGATGGATGTGTGATGAATGAAAGGAAAATAAAATATAATTTATTCAACAGGTTTTTATGGAGTGCTTATTATGTGCTATGGCATATGAAATAGGGGAAATAAGATATATAAATAAAGAACAATCATGAAAATGACAGGTAAGATGAGGAAGTTATAATGTTCAGTGAGGGTTCAAATATGGAAAAGACCTCCTTCCACTGAAAAGATCATAGAGAATGCAGCCCTTGGGTTGAGCCTTGTGGAATGGACAGAATTTTACAGGTAGAAATGGGGGAGAGGCTTGCTGAGTGGAAGATCAGCATGAGTAAGATGTAGAATGTGGCTGATAGCTGTCTCCTGACTAATAATTTGTATTGTGCCTCCTTCAAGGAAAAGCAAGAAGCTAGTTTGGCAGGAGCTTATGAATTATGCATGGTTTATGTATGTAACAGTAAGAAATTTGAGAAGGCAGGTTAGGGCTCACCCACAGATAGACGTGCAAGTGGAACTGAGCTGGCTGGCTCTCCTTGGGTGGGGAGGCACTGGGGAAATGATGAAAGTATGAATCAGGGAAAGTTGGACTTTAAGAAGCTGGGGCAGTGACTTCCTCTGCCTATGCAAGGAGCTAGCAAGTCACATAGACACTCCAAGTTGATTTACCATATTAAACAGAACAAATATCCACACTGAAGGCAATATATGGTTCTTCCTTTGATCATTAACCTAACATTTAACGTATGGACAGATAAGACAAAGTAATATGCAGCCACTTTAAAATTCTCACAATAGAATTTAAACAACCAAACCTGGTAAGTTTTTATTTCTATCTGAGCTACACAGTAAAACCTCAGCTCAAGACTTTACTTAGCTTGAGCACAAGGAGTTTGAGAATCAGCCTAAAAGAGTAGATGAAATTGCTGTTGCCTTTCCCAGCAGGTTTTACCAGGTCCAGAGATGTCAGTGGAAGCCCACAGAGGGTCAACCACATGTTCCTCAGATTAGAATGCTTGGTGGGTGGGGATGTCAGAAATCAGGAAATGTGTTTGAAGCTGGAGCTGGGGTCAGCTTACCAAGTCCAGGCAGCAGTTAATGGTCCACTCTTGGATTTAAGCCTTCAGGTTAGTGAGCAATCCACAGTTGGCCTTCATTTCTCACGCTGGGGCGGAGGGAGGTGCAAACGAAACACATAATCCGAAGCTGGCCAACTGGGGCCAGCACTCCATTGTCATGCCACCAAACGAAACACATAATCCGAAGCTGGCCAACTGGGGCTGCATGACAGCACTCCATTGTCATGCCATTTGGAACAAGACTAGTCAAGGAAGGTGTTTCTATCCAAAACTTTTACTAAGCCTAGGTTACTCTTGTGTGCAAGTACCTCCCTGATGCTGAAGACCTGTTTGTCTACGGGGGGCTTCTGAAGGTCCCAAGAGAGAAAGGTGCCTCCTGGTCAGCAGTGAAGTCCAGCCCTGAGACAGCCAATATTTGTAATTAAACAGTGCGCAAGCACAGAAACAGCATCCCAGACATCGGCCCCACCACGAGCAGGAACCAGGATGCTGTTTCACCTGGAGTTTACTTCATGTTTTTCCGTTGGAATGGTGATGGGTAGCACAAAGCCTCTTTCATGTACATAACTGTTATTCCTGTGTCTACTTGTATTTTCTCTAAGACTTTACAGGAGAGGCTGTTGTGATTGCTTTTCCTCCTTAAGAGCAACTTCCTGTCTAAAATGCTTTCCTCTTCTTGTTGAGCTTAAGTCGTACATGCATCACTCTGAAACACCTAAGCTGTTGCCTTTTGCCAAAATTACTTCTCCAAGAAAGAGACATTCTTTTTTTAGGATTTAAAACCCAAAAGGGATTAGTGGATGTTTTGAAGTCTTTCAAAAATGAACCTATGTCCTGCACTATCAACTAAAATAGTGTTAGAAATCATTACACAGTATTCTACATGCATGGGATTGCAACATTCATATAGAGCTTTCACAAAGACAGCTTTGGGCTAGAAGTCTTCTGAAAGCAGGTAGCTCTAATTTCTTACTCTTTAAGAACATTCAAGTGCATTTAGGTACAAAAAGAAAAGAAAATGGCTTTGTATTCAAACTAGGAAATGGAGGCAGTGTGGATTTTTTCATGAGGGACTCCCTCTGTGCTTTTTTTTTTTTTCTATTATGTGTTCCTGACATTGACTTGGTGACATTGGCTCAAAGGAATTGTGGGTGATGTAAATTTCTCAGGAAGTGCCGAGTAGGAAGGATTGTGTTCAGTCCAATATTGGAATGAGGGACGGCTCCTTACCCATCTCCTCCTGACCGGTCTTGGCAGTTGTGATGCACGTGTCTCACTCACACTCCCAAAGGCAAGAGTCTATACAGGAAATCATAAACCCCCACTTTCCAAAACAAACACACTGTTAATGCTATGGTGGCACATAAATACCTCAACTGCCTGGGCTAACAGAAGGGGCTGCAGGTTTTGAAGAGAGCCTGTGTTGTTCTCATCCCACAAAGTTACACCGTCTGACAACAGGACTCGACCTTCTAGCTTTTTCTCACTGTGGAAAAGAAAGGTTACTGTTTAATTCATACCCAAAGTTATAAGTACAGCCTGTAAATTTTACTAACTTGTTTCATTTTTTGTTTGGTCCTTGAGAAGTACAACTTGCTTTTTGCAGCTGGTAATTTCTGGTGTTGTTCTTTGATATATCTTTGATATATATATACATGTATATATATACATATATATACATATATATACACATATGTATGTATATATATCATTGCTGTATTTGTTAAAGTTTGTTCGTTTTGTGGTTTTTAATTCCCATTGGTGCACTGTACAATGGGGTGTTGTAGTGTATCATGAAGAAAGAAATAATATGCAGATATGTTATGGAGTATATTTTATTTTGAAATTGACTGTGGTGTTGACAATATATTGATATGTCAAGATACTAAGGGAAAATTCTAAATTTACCAAAATGTGTATATTTTAATAAATGTATAAAGCTTTATTGTGTGCCTTTAAGTTTAAAAATGGGTTTATAAAAAAAAGTGAGAAACAAAAGTGTCTTACTATAAAATATCCACAGTAACGTAAAGCTTTTACCCAGGAAACTACCAAAAGAAAAAGAGAAAAGAAAAAGAAGCTTTCCCATATTTTGTTAACCTTAACCAGTTCCAGAAGTCTGGTATATTCTTTCCATTCTAAAATGGAGATGAATAAGTGAATCTTGCCTTAAATGTTTCAA